GAGATAAATTCGAAATACAAAAAATTGTCACATAAATACATCTGATATAGAACATAAATTAGAAAACTTAACTCTTATTAGCATTTCTATGTCATAGATTATTATCCATATTTAGTGTGAGTTTGATCAGGATTGTTTATTATTTATTATTAAGATTAGACTTTTTATTAAGAATTTTATTTGAATTAGAATTCATTAAATTTAAGGCTCTATTTTGTTATTTAAGTTAAGTTTCATTATAATTATTATTATTATCAGATTTTATAGCTATTTTAGAGCTATAGGACTATTAATACCTATGACAAAATTTAACTGATCATGTTAAAATATAGCAAAAATTTAGATATCATTAAAATAATTATTAAAATAATTATTTTATTTGTATAATATTTAAAAACAAATTTGTTATATTTCAACCACATTCTCATAAGTTTGCTATATGGGTGTAATTACTACTATTTCTTATAGAGTAGTGATGGACCCATTTGGCATTATTTTTAAAAGTTTCTTTTAGTTTTTTTAAGAAGCTACAGTTGGTGAGGGTGTTTGTTAAAACCTACTTATAGCTTCTAAAAGCTGCTGTCCCACAACAAAATTTGAGAAGTAGGTCAGATGTTGTTTTTGTACAGCAACTTCTACTGCCATTGTTACAATTTACTAAAATGACCCTAATAATAAAACTTAATTCCCAATCTACTCATTATATTTGTTTCAAATCAAATTAAAGAATATATTTTATTTTAAATTTTTATTTAAAAATTAAAAATCTTTAATAAATATCTTATGCTAAATTTTAATAATACATTTTTATTATAATGTTGCAAGTTTGAAAAATAATTTTTCTTCAGTTCTTTATGTATTTAATTTCTTTTTAATTATATAATTTATCTCCTTGAATAAAACTATTTTATTTTTAGAGATATTATAATTAATAAAATGAAAATTATACTTTATTTTGAAGTATAAATATTATGAATATTACTATAAAAATATAAATAAACTAATTATAAATATGTGTATTAAAGTATGTCTATTTTAGTCATTATAAATCTTCACAGTAATTTTCTACATAGTTTACCAAACACCTAAATTTTTACTTTTAATGTTCATAGTAACTTTTAAAAAAAGAAAAAAAAAAACTTACCAAACACCTACATGTTTTTTGTCACAACAACTTCTGATTAATAACACAACAACAATAGAAATTTTCAACAATGCATATATTTACACATCAAGAAGTTATAGATGTCCCCAACAATTAATAATTCTCTAATAAAAATTTAAAAAATCTATTCTTTTATAGATATAACTTTCATAATATTTAATTTAACCCTCTCATACCCCCACCTAATTTTTTTTCTTCAAAATGGACCTCTATCTTCTTTTAATCTTTCATTTCATTTATAAAATGGTGGTTCTATTCATAATCTTATCTTTACTCTCCACACCCCCTTCTAGTTAAAGTTTCTTATTACAGAATCATCCTCACATAAAATGACAAAAAGGACAATTATTTTAGATTTAATTTTATCATTAAAATTTATTATAAAAAGAAAACTAATGATAACTAGGTTTTTTTTTCCTTTTCTCTCAACACACCCCACATATCATATTTCTATACTACATCTATTGCTATTATGAACTCTATAACAAAAACCTAATTTTCATCTGACTATTGTAAAAAATTCTACAGAAGTATGTTAAATTATCTTTGATATTTGTTATTTGACGGTTGTTCCCTTTTTTTCTTATTTAATATATAGTGGGATTGGTTGTGTTTTTTCATTGTATTTCTCTTGTTTGGTTGCTTATGCTAATATGCAGTTTTATGGATACTGGGTTTGCATTTTTCCTTTGTCGTTGTCTTTTCTAAATGAACGTTTGGTTTATGGATTTAAAATCATGATTCAAAACCATTTTCATTTTACGTGTGTTTTTTGTGAGAGAAAAACACTGTAGAGAACCATGAATCATGATTCAGAATCAGGGACGATACATGAAATAAACATCCCCTAATTATTTCTCAATTAACATAGTTTTATGTTCCAGTTTAGTTTTTAGTTGATTTTGCTCTCTTCTTCTTTTTTTTTTTTTCCTTTTCCTGGGTTCTTTATTATGAGTCATTTTTCGGTTGACGCTTTGGGTAAAAAATAAATAAATACAATATTAAAGTAACAATTAATACAGTTTGTGGGTGTGAAAAGAAAAGTAAATTGATTAAGAATTAAGAATTTTATAAAAAATTGTTAGGAGTGATCTTAGAATAATATAGATGTGTAAAAAGTAAATTTAATTATTTAAAAATTATGTGAAGCGTGTAATTAGAATAGGGTATGGAGAATAAAAAGCAGGGTGTGTTTATGGCTCCATAATATTTAAGATTTTATTTACTTAGATTATTTATTTGCTTTGTAATATCTATTTTAGATTTTATTATTATTCATATTAGGTTTGAATTAGTCAAAATAGTTGATTTGGAATGTTTAGTTTGTTCTTACAAATATGGGTGTATGTGGGTGTGGATGAATTATTTAGCATTTTATGCTTTTGGAAGGCCCGAGTTCCTCAAAAACTCAATTTGGAGGTTAAATTTCACTCGAACGAACTTTATTTATCTATTTATATTTATTTAATATTCGGATATGTATCAGTGTGAATAGAATCACCTTTTATAAAATAAAAAAAATCATTTTTAAATGTTATATTTTCTTTTTAATTCCTTATTCACTTCTGTCCTTTTAACCCTTATTTCTCATTTTACCTTCTTTTTACTTTTTTCTTTTGACATGTCCATTATATAAGAACCAAGTCTCCATAACAAATAAAAAAAATAAAGATGCTTAATGATGATGATGTCTTAAGATTTATTATTATTATTATTATTAGAAATACGTACTTTGACATTTGTTTTTTTTATTATTAGAAATACATACTTTGACATTTGTTGACTCTTCAAGAGGCATGCTTTTTTTTTTTTTTTCAATTGGAACCTCCAACAAAATTTTTAAAAATTTTGATAAAGAAAGGTTTAGAATTTATGAAAATAAAATTAGTATTAACTGGAAATGTGGGGTATGTTCTTTTATTCCCGTGAAAAATAATTTCTACCTGTAGTTAAGATAGGTGTATGACAATGCTCTTTTATTTTGTTGAAAAAAAACTATTTCAATTTATAATTATTTGGGGTCATATTAGTGAGTTTTAATGTAAATTAAGGTAGAGTTGTAATAAAACATGAATTATGAATTAGTGGGGACATTAATATAATTTTCGGGTAATTACTTTTTTTTAAAAGAAAATACACCAAATAACATATTTCATACACCTTAATAAAGTCAATAGCGGCTTTTCAAATTACTAGTAAATTATAGTATATCATCTCAAATATTTCTATAATACTTTAAATACCCCAACCCCATTAAAATTCCATAAAAAAACCCAATCATACCAATATCTCTTCCTCTCTCCTTTCGATTTCCTTCTTTCTCTCACTTCCTCGATCTCTCTCTCTCTCTCTCTCTCTCTTTCCTCCGTCCTCCCCATCTCTCTTGTTCTCTCACTACCTCAATCGTTCTCTCTCCTCTGTCTTCCCATCTCCTACATTCTCTCAGTTCCTCAATCTCGGTCCAGATCAAATTAGTTGGGTCTCCAACGATGCGCGACTTTGTCGCCACCAAAGATATCGCCAATCAAAGTCCTGACAGTGAAAAAGATCGTCATGATCTCTGACGATGTGCGGCTTCGTCACCACCTGTCAGGCTTCGAAAACCATGATCTCTAGTTCGCAGACCAAGGACGGCGACACAACTCGGATAATTATGATATTTACATGTAAATACGATTTTTTAGATAAATATAATATTTTTTAATAAATACGGTATTTATTAATAAATATATATTTTTATTAGTAAGACGGTATTTATCAGTACCCGATGGGCATGTTGAACTAACTAGAGGGAAGAAGAGAGATGAGAATGAGAGGGTTTTGAAGTACTTTAGAGTTTTTGTAATGTTGAAAACTTAAGATTTCAAATTAGGTTATAATTGACCTTTTTTAAAGAACTATGCTATAATTTACTTAGTACCTATTAAATATGTTATTTCACTCATTCTCTTTTTTAATTTGTTTTGGTTTTTTTTTTTTTTAGACAAATTACACATTTTTTCCCGAACTATTAGTCTTGTCACAAAGCCCTTGAATTTTAATTTATCTTTTTCCCCCTGAATTTCAAAAACTCTTGCAAATTTTCTCACTCTTTCAAATTCTTACTTTAGTTATTGATGTTGACCACCATTGATGAACCTTCAAAGTTTTTCAGGTAAAGTAAATTAAGAAAAAGTTGGTATAATAAAAAAAATAACAGTTCCCACTGTATAATTGCACTTCTGTGTGACGGGATGAGAAAATGTTAACAACATAATTGTATATTAAAAATAGTTCAACTATACTTATTTATGTGATACATGTTATTTCTATTAAATATCTTAACATAAGAAGGTTTTTTTTGTTAGTTTTTGTATTTTATGGGACATTTTTCACTAAAAATTTAATAAGAGTTGTTAAAATTAAATTTATGAGACTTGTGATAAAGCCTTTATTAGAGGAAAGACGAGTAATTTGTCATTTGTTTTTGTTTTTTCTTTTAGGGAGAAAGAGGAAAATATGTTAAAATTTGAGATGAATTAAAATTAATAGACTAATAATTTACATAAGTTAATAAATAGGCTAAATTACTGTTTTTGTTCGTAACTTATTTGGTTATGAATCATAACTTGACAAGTTATTATCCATAAATCACGGTTTTTGTCCATAATTTGTCTGACTATGAACCATAACTTGATAAATTTATCCATAACTTATCTAGTTATGAACCATAACTTGACAAATTATAACCTATTAATTTCTATAACTAAAATTTGACCTATATACTTCCTTAAGTTTTTCATATTAGCCTATTTTCTACTATTTCCGTTTCTTTTATCTACCTCGACCCGGAATACGGTCCATGAAGTTGGACTTGAGGTAATTCGCCCTGATCAGCCCAAATCCAGAAGTTCTCTTATCATTATTTTCTTCGTTCCGACTTCCGAATCTGATATTTACGGCTAATCGTCAGAAGAACCAACTCGGTTACCGAAAACATCGAGAGGACTCAGCATCAATGGCGGGTGACTCGGCGGACTCGGACTCCTCCCCAAGCAAGCGCCTCAAAACCGGCGTATCAACGCAAAGCCAGAGCTCCAAATGCAAATCGAAGCTCGAAGACGAAAACCAAGCACCGGTCGCTGAGAATTCGGCTTCTCGCAACTGTGCAATTTGCTTCTTAGAGGATGTGAAAGCAATCAGAGGCGAAATCGATTGCTGCGATCACTACTTCTGCTTCTTGTGCATCATGGAGTGGTCCAAGACCGAGTCGCGTTGCCCTATGTGCCGACGGAGGTTCGCCGCCATTCGCAGACCACCGAAGGACGGAGTTTTCGCTTGCGAAAGAATGATCAAGGTTCCGGTTCGTGATCAGGTGAGAATTTTGGGAATTTACAGGCGTTGGTTTCCTATATTCTACCGTGATTCTAAACGATGATTCATAGTTTTTTACGCTACTTTCTCTAAAAAAAAAAAAAAACTTAAAATGAGAATAATTCTGAATATATAAACCGTAAAATGAGAATAATTCTGAATATATAAACCAAACGATCTCGTGATTTTGTTTGGTTTAATTTCGAATTCAGTTTGTTTTTAGCGTTAATTCCTTTATTTTATGGCTCAGCCTTGAGTTTGGTTTAGAATTAAGCTTTGACATTTTGATCGTTTGGTTTATTTCTGCTTGCATTTAGCTTTATATATGTGTGTGTGTACACATAATAATCCTTTTCTCTCTTTACTTCATGCTCTAATTTTGGAAAGACCTCAAGAACTGAAATTTTTGTACGATTAAAAAAAAAACGTCAAATGAATGCCTGCGTACAAAGCTGCATAATTGGGAAAAAAAAAAAAAAAGTCCCCTTAATGGGATAGTCCTGTTTCGTGCGGATATTCAAGACAATAAGATTATATTGTGCGCGGAACCGTTTTTAAAAACGGTTTTCACGTATTTTAAAAAATAAAAATAAAAATATATTTATTTAGTAAATATTTTAAAAATGAAAACGAAAACAAAACAGTGAAGAGTTTTTGTGAACAAATTAAAAAATAATTTGAAAGTTATTTTTACTTTTTGTATTTTTATTTTTTAATACTTATTAATAATATTATAATATATTAATTAATAAATTTGATTTCATTTTTTTATTATACTGAAAACATCCTTTAAAAAATTAACCAAACGTAATTTTAAAATCGGTCTCAAAATAATTCTCAAAACAATATTATTTTTATTTTTTATTGTAAATAAAATTATTTTTAAACCAATTCTAAACACACTCATTGAAACTTTTTTTAATATTCAAAATGATGTCCATATTCCAAACATTTTTTTTTGGGGAAAACTAATATGCAGCCTAAATCCGAGAACATGCAGTTGAAAGGTATTGAAAACAGAGTGAAAAACACGTTACGGCTGAATAGATGATAGCAGTTTTTAGGTTATGGTTTTCCCAAGTGAATTTGTTCATTGATCATTTTTAATAATTTTTAAGTTCATATTTTTATTTGCTTCAGAAGCTTGAATTGGTTAATATTATATATGTTCAGGCAAACACAACTGGTTCTTTTGATCCTTATGCCGAGGTTTTATGTAACGCATGCCGTAGCACAAAAGATGAACATCTTCTGCTTCTGTGTGATCTCTGTGATTCAGCTGCTCATACTTACTGTGTTGGCCTTGGTTTTACTGTACCTGAAGGTGATTGGTTTTGCCGTGATTGTATCATTAGTAGGGCTGAACATGCCCATAGTGAAACAAATAATGAAGACAACGATCAAGATGTAATTATGCATTCGGCTCTACCAAATGTTGTAAGACGAGAATCACATCGCCCAGTGAATGAGAGAGCTTCTTCAAGAGTTTCTTCAGATTCAAGCAGAGTCTTCCCTTCTGCTGTCCCTCATCGGAGACCCCTTGCAGTGAACGAAGCTACTGGTCCGGGTTCTAGAACATTCAATATGAAGGCTGTCGAGAAATTTACCAAATCAGGTGCAAGAACGTTGGGTCGCTGCCGCAATGTGCATAGTCGCATAAGAGCACTGCGTGAAAATTGGAATGCTTTGAGAAGTGGTTCATTGAGCTTTTCTCCCGGTTCATCCAAACAGCAATGCCACAGTCAGAAGCATGAAAATAATGCAGTACTGCACGACAGGTCAGGTGAAGTGGAAACAACATCTTCTAAAGTTAGTCAGCAGTCGAGAAATGAAGATAGTATTCGCTCAAAAGATATTGACAGGGCATGGAAAATGCTTGATATAGCAAAATCGAAGCACTGTACTCGTGGAAAGACTAGCAGGTCCTCCAAACTCCCTCCTAGCAAAGTAAGTGGCTCAGAAGAAAGAGCTAATGTTAGTTCTAATCATACAAGAAATAGTCAACAACTTGGATATAGTGGTACTGGTGTGGGAAAAACTGGAATGGAGAAGCCCTTGGAACACAGTTCTTTTGAGAAGGAAATAAAAAAGCATCAATGGGCAGAGTTAGAAAAGGAGCGATCGAGTAGAGGTATTACTAAGGTAGCAGCAGGATGTAGTTCTAGTCTTTCAACAACATGTTTGCCGAGATTGCTTGAACCTTCGTTGTCTAAGAACACCATTTCTGTTGTAGATAATACCCGTCGAAAAAATAGGTCAATATATTTAGAGGAAAGTGTAAATTCAGCTTCATCAAACCTTGCTGGCGAGCAAAATCGGCCTGCTTGTTTAGTAAGCCATGGAGCCTCTGAATCTTTTGATGTCAAGTCAGAGCTAAGTGCATCTTCTCTGAAAGTGGATTTACCCAACGGAAGTACCAGATCAAAAAATGACAGCGCCCAGAGTAATGTGGTAAGGCATGACGATGCGAAAAGTGAGATCCAGTCTCTTGTCAAGCTCAATTTGAAGCTTCTAAGCAGAGACAAACAGTTAGGTATGATCATTATGCTTGAACTTGCTAAATGCTAATAGTGTGGATCAGTTATGGGTGAAGTTGATTCAAAAAGGTTTTCATGTTATAGCCAAGGATGAAAATATCGACATTTTTACCGATATTTCCACGGAAATTTCCGTATTTTGGAAGTACCGATATGGAAATAGAGGTGTAGTATCATTTCTGCAGAATATCTTGAAATTTCCACAGATATTACAGTAAATATCGATATTTTCACGGAAATTTTCATTTCCGAGTGAGTGGTGTTAAATGACCGAATATCGTGGAAATTTTACGGAAATTTTGCGGAAATATCGGTAAAATTTTCATAGAAATTTCCATAACTTTATATATATTAGTTTGCTTTTCAAAAAAATCTAAAATATATGACATGTCCAAAATTATATAAAGAACTATTCAAACTCCATGTCTTGATGTCAATATTGTTTAAACTAAGAATGTGTTCAAAATACCTTTGAACTTCCTAGGAGCTCCTTTTGGTATTGATAATTTATCATCATGTGTGAAACCATATATGTATGGTATATGTATTATGTTGACTTTTAGCTATTTTACTCAATTTGTGAACGTGTGCTTAGTATTTATGGTATTATGTTTATGGTATTATGACACACTTTACCTTGCATAGTTATCAAATAATTGGTATTTTGATTGAGAGTTTCATCTAATTAATGTATTTATTTTAACGTTTCTTAAAATTTCATTTGAAAATAATGTTTTAGTATGAATATCTGTTTTTTATGTCAATTTCCACCGATATCGATATTTCCGTCGATATTTTCATAAAATTTAAGGACAGATATTTTTTGTAAATATAGATTTTTCATCCTTGGTTATAGGCCATTTAAATGTCCTCTTCAAGATTCAAAGTTCTTGTGCTTTACTTTACCATCAACATCACATGAAAAATTTCAAAGGCCTTAATTCAATTATTGTATACTGTTATAGATTCTTGTTCTTCATTGTTTTTCTTCTTTACAGAATACATATTTTCTGTTGCAATGATTCTATTCCGATTGTAAATTCTCTTTCCTTATACGCAGACGTTGCGGGGTTTAAGGAACTCGCAAGGGCTGCCACGCACACCATTTTGGCTGCCTGTGGTCTGGAGCACCAAAAAAAGTATGGCGTCCATTCTTTCTCAAGCTTTGAATGTTCCCACATGGGACTTTGTGAGATACCTAGGTCCGATCTCATGCCCACGTCTTGCCGGCATTGCTTTAACAGCTTTGTAAAAGATGTTGTCAATTCTATTATGTTTGAGAAAATAGGCTGTGCAAATATGAGTTAACGTTCTAAATTAATGAATCTGCCTCTGGAATTTTTGTTGTTGGTAGAAAAGCATATGTAGATTCATTTATTTTTGTGTACAGGTTTCTCCACAGCTCATGTAATATCTATTTGTAGACGTATATAATTACTGTATAGGCATGAAGATGATAGTAGTTTATTCCCTGTTTCTGTTTTGTAGATTAAACTTCTGATTCAAACAAAACTGAAGCAGATTATATTAATGATTAGCAGGAGCATAAATTCAGTGTGTAAAACCGAGAATGAACTCTTTTCACAAGTTTGAAATTTGGGAGAAAAAAGACTAGCAAAAGAGTTCAACTGTTTTTCGAACCTAAAAAAAGGAGAGGAAATTCCGGGCTTGTTCTTTTAGAGTTTAATTTGAGTATAATTCTTGAGTTGAATTTGAGTTATAACTTGAGTTGAATTTGTAACTTGAGTTTGTGTTTGGTTGTGTACATTTAAGTTATGGTTTAAGATAAGAATCTTTTTGAGTTTATATTTGAGTGGGTCAAAACTTGAATTTGTATTTAGATAGTATTTTAATAAAAACTCAGTGCTGATGAAAAATTTTAATAGGGTATATGGGTAAGGCTTTATTCGTCTTTTCGTTGTCAACGCATAGAAAAAAAAAATCATCTCAATCAAAATTAAAACGAAAAAATTATAGCATTTTTAAAAATATAAAAAATATTGTTCATTAATTTGAGTTCAAGTGTCTGAACTCGAGTTGAAATGGAAACTTGAACTCGAGTTTTAGTTTTAAACTCGAATTTAAACTCGAGTTTAAACTTAAAAGAACATGAACTCGAATAAAGTTGTAACTCGAGTTATTTTTTTTTAAAATTTTTCACTCAAAAAATAAACCCTCCGTTGTTCACTTGACTCTTTTTGGGTCATTTGAAATTGGAAAGACTGTTTAATTGGCACTCTACGATGAATATTGCTTGCTGTAGCGTAAATGTAAACGAGGTCGTATCACAGACCACACATTTTCTTTTCCCCATTTCTATCTATATTTTCTCCAAGCTCTCCACCAGTTAGCAGTTACTCGTAACTCTAAGAGCAACCAAGCATGATATCATAGAAGAAAGAAAACGTAGTCTTTCACCCAGCAAATCTAAGAATATCATACACTATCTCTGGGAAATTTATTTCTAAGCACAGGATTTATCTTTTCAACACTACAGCACTAGAAAACCAAACTTTCTACCAACTATAAGATGTCGCCTTGTCCATTGCTTATTAGACCAACAAAGAGAGGATATATTCAAAACCGGCATGAAGTTCCGAGCCTCAGTTTCTGTCTCTGCTCAGCAGTGGCAGAGCTTCGTTTGACGAAGGCAGGGTAAAGAAGCTCCTTGAACTTATCAAGAAACATCGTCCATTCTTCATTGTTCATATCAGCAAGCTTCACATAACTCCTTGTGGTAGGCAGCTGCTCATTAGCACTTCTTGCAATCCCAGATAAGGAACCCATCCTACGATTGTATCCTAGGCTTCTCTTGTCCGCGTCGGACATGGATGAATTTGAAGTGGTATTGTTCCAATTCGGCCAAGAATCGGTGAACCTTTCTAAATTGGCTGGCCTCGGATCTACAAATGCTTCCTCATTGTCTTCCATATCTTCATCCAGCTTAGAGAGCAGGCACAGACCATTCGCGCCTTTGCACTTGCAATGAAATGCATCATCACCATCTATGTCAAATACAAACTCTTCATCTAATCTCTCAGATTCAAAGCTTGATATGTTCCAATCTTCTATGCTCCTCCTTGCCTCAAGGCATACAACCTCGAGCTCACTTGGCTGGTCCTCTCGCCCTCGGAACTCTCTACTCATCATCTGACCGATCTCAGCAAGACACAGTCCAAAAGCAGCTGCTTCCTTGAGAAACACCGTGCAAAGGACTAGAACCCGCAGACATGCTTCCCGAATCATGGGCAGCTCCATCTTTACCATCTCAGAATCACGAACTGGATCTAGCTTGTTTATGTACTCGAGCTCTTCCTCAGTGAAAGGAATTGATGCCTGAGGCCAGTGAATCCATTCAAAATATGGATCCTCCAGGCTCTCCGGTAAGCAAAGGCCATGATCAATTGGAATGAGCTCTACCTGGCCAAACCTCCCAATTCCATCAAGGTTTTTAACCAATAGGTTCCCTGCGTGCCTGTCAGTGTTAAAGATTCTAATATCCAAAATCCCTATCCTATGAATAGCCGAAACGGGAAAACTTGAGGTTCCATGGTCACCAGCATCAAAATCATGGGGAATAAACTGCTGGAGAGAGGCTATCTTGCTAACCTTCTTCTTATTCTGAAAATTGTTTGCATTGACTCCATTTACATTGAACACCGAGTGTGTAACCTTTACAAGAACAGTTAGAGGCACATTGGCGGAGTGATCATAATCCAAAAGGTAAGCAGCCACTTCCCTAAAGCCCGTCTCCCCAACTCTGACAGAAGGTTTCAGACCTGGCTGCCCAAGAGCTTTGCCTACAAAGCCTTTCGGGTTGTTTGGCGCAAAGGGCTCCTCATCTGTTGGCTTCACAATAGCAACAGTCTCACCCCTGCTGTTCCTAAAAAAGTAACCACCTCCGAGCCCACTCTGAACAGGAATAGGATCGACACCATTTTTTATAGCTGTTACAATCTCCTTTACCAGTTCTTTACTGCCAAGAAAGTGAGTACCCCCTAAAATCTGTATCAGCTCACTCTGATCCCTCTGATGATGGGGATTGTTCCCAGTAGGAGAGAGGCAAGGAGTCGATGAGCTTCGGTGCATGGCATTCCTAGTAAGAAGTAATGGCGAGTCATTTCGGACGGCACTAAGATCATTATTTAGTACAAGATCCCCAAATGTCAATGAGCTCTCATGAGTAGGAATGTTGAGGGCAAGCTGCAGTCTCCTCTTTACAGTATGGGCATTGTCACCCCTTTCCAACTCCATTCCCAAAACACAGCCGGTCTCGGTCTGCACAAAGACTCTCCTCCTCCTGGAAAGATTTCCACTTGCGTTTCCATTATTGTGCTCGCCACTGCGAGCCCGATTGATGACTGCAACAGCCATATTTGTGGGAGCAGGAATATCCAACTTCGCAGACATGGAAGAGGAAAATCTATTAGTTCCAACCATGACGCAGAGGTGACGGCAAGGCAGAGACTTGTTCTCTCTCAATTGAATGAGAGAGATAAAAAGAGTCCAACCAATCATCAACTAACCTAGCATTGTCGAATCATTGCCTACAAAATTGTCCTCCCCAGAAACGGAGACGAGAAACACGACGCAAACTCGCTTCATTTCGGAGCTCGTGTAACTGTACTACATGATTCAACAGAGCTTACATCTGCTACAACAAATGTAGAGGCGTGAGGTGTCATTAAATGCATAAGAAGCACTATTAGAATTTATAACTACCTCTAACTAAACAACATTAACTTCTAGCAATAGAAGATGAAATAAAATCAAATCATTTGAAACCAAACAAGATTAATCACATGGTTGCAAAATTCGTATTAAAGAAACACAAACAACTACCAAACAAGAATGTAAAGAAATTATAATGAAAGATTTCGGGGAAAAAGAAACAATGTACCAAAGGTGAAAACATCGTTAATAATTCCATCAAAAAAAAAAAAAAAATTGTTAATACTCTAACGTCTTGCTCCATTTCAAATTTTAAAAGATTTTGAAAGAAGATTGATACATGGAGATAAAACTTGCCAATTATAGGTGACATTTAGTTATTGTTATTTTTACAATCATTTTAAGTAATATTCTATTTTTGTTGCAACGAAATGATCTTCCTTATAATTTCATCTCCTAAAATTAGAAAATTTCCTTAAAATGAAAAAGGAAAAGGAAAGAAAGCTGGACAAATTCTGTTCTCAAATTCAACTTGGACATTAAATTATACATGAGATACGACTTTGAAAATTTTGAAAGTTCAGCCACTTTCATTACAATACTCAATGAGAGTAATATATTTTAGTTTTCTTTCACAAACTTCCTTATCGACCGAAGCCGAAGCACAACTAAATTTTGAAAAGAAAAGAAAGAAAGAGGGAAAGAAAGAAAGAACAAGAGATCAAGAAAATCAAAAGCAAGCAATCATGGAAGAATAGAGTCCACTCAATAACGCAACATAAACAAATTACATTGAAATTCAAATTCAAATTTCTAAGAATCGGAATGAAAAGAAAAAGGCAAGTTTCAGTGAATCACCAGTAGAAAAAGAAGCTCACTGTTCAGAGACCAGAGAGAACTGAGGCAGGAGAGAAAGATCAGAGAATTCGGTCGGAGAACGAGAAAGTATTAGAGATCAACGGCTGTGATCGGAGATGCCGAAGATTCAACGGTCACGATGAACCGCCAATCGCCAGCCCAGACTCTCCCCCCACCGATTCCTCTGTCTCTCTCTCTCTGTGTCTGTGTCGCTAATGAACAGCAATGTCTCCTTTAAATAGTGCACTATTGGCCTTTATTTTGAAATTACGAGAAAGACCTCGGTTTTACTGTTGTTTGACTGATGAAAGAACGAAAGACATTGGACCAAATTCTACGTTTTCGTGTTTTCATCGTACACTGTAAACTTCTCTCTTAGCAACATGCACCGCCTTAAAAAAAAAAAAAAAAAAAAAAAAAAAAAAAAACCCGAAAAAGGGGAAATCACGACCTTCACCGTGGGATCAAAGCTATTGTTGGAGCGTGTTAAAAAAAATAAATAAATAAAAAAAAAAGCTATTGTTGGAGCAGTGGCGGGAACTTACGTGGCACAATGCCAGAGGCCAGAATGTCAGTAAGTTCACACTTGCTGTTTGTGTAGTGGGCCGCGAAAGCGGCAGAATCTGCCCTCGCCGGCTGCCGAATAAAAGGTTTGGACGGTTCATGCGAAATGACTTAACTACCCTATACTATTTTAAGAAGGTGAAGGGAAAATATCAAAAGTATTTTCTTTTGTTTTAAAAGTAATTTACGTGATTTGTAAAATTGTTATTTTCTCAATACATTAGTTTTTACTAGTTGATAGCACGTTCCTATTGAGCTTATTCAATTCTTTTAAATATGTTTAGTTTCTCAAATTTTTTTTAAATATGTGGTTGAATTTTCTTTAAGTATTATTATTAATTTATTCAAGTTTAAGATATTATAAAAAAAGATTTTAAATAGAATTGATTTAAAGAAAAAATAGCAAGATAAAATTAAACAATAAATTATTTAAGAGATGCATTTGCGAATAGTATTTGATATGCGAAGAGAAAACAGATCTTTGCACATGGTCATATTTGAGAAAAAAAAATTATGTTAGCAGGGCAATTAGGAAAGTAAGAGTATATAAAAAAAATTATTGTAATAGAGATAAAAGGGAAAAAATAAAGAAGGACTAAAAAATAAAAATAAAAATAAGGAAACACTGAAAAATAATAAAAAATAGAGCAAGGAGTAAATGGAAAAAAAGGAAAAAAAAAAGGACGGAGTAAAAAGAAGAAATTAAAAGACAAAGAAGGAGCCACCTGAAGCTAGTTCAAGGTGTGTGTAGTTCTGTAGATAATACAAAAGACAAAAAAAAAATTAAAAAAAGAAAAGAATGAGCATTTTCAACTGAAATGAAACCGTTTTGATCGAAAGTGGAAGTGTCTTTGGACACATCTTAAAAAGACAAAGACAAGGAAGGACTAAAAGAATAAGAAATAAGAAAAAAATTAAGAAAGCATTAAAAAATAAGAAAAATAGAGAGGAAGGACTAAAATGTAAAAAAAAATACAAGGAAGGGTTAAAAATAAAAATAAAAGGAGGAGGGACTAAAAGACTTAAAGAAAAATCAAAGAAGGGATTTGCTTCCAACTTATTATTTATTTGTTTTTTCCATTAAAATTAGGATTTTTTTTTCCTTTGGAGCTTGCTACCTTGGATATCATCACTGGTAGTTTAAACCGAAATACCTTAATAATGAAGTTTACACTACCTGGCAGAGGAAAAGAAACCGAAAATGAAAGAAAAAGACCCTGCTCTAAGAACTTCGAATACGTCCTCAAATCAACGTTACATGCACAGGGTTTTTCTCTCTCTCGCCCTCTTTACGGGCAGCCTCCTAACTCCCGGTCATGAAACTTAGTCCTCCGACTCGTCTCGTTATGGGCTTCTCGTTAGTGATAGTGGTATATGGCGTGGTGACTTTGTTTGGCGGATCTAAACCGGTTTAGAGTTTAGAAGCCGAACAAATGAGCTTCGTTTACTGGTGAGTTTGTTGTTTGGTGGCTTAGATCTCTTGACCGGCTATCTCCCTCAACGGTCCTTTGGCTGACTATCTCCCTTAACGGTCCTTTGGTCGGTTTCCTTTCACCGAAGGTTTCTATCGGCGGTAGTAGGAGCTTTTTTGGTTATAATTTTTGTGATTGTAATAAAGGCGGTGGTCTCCTCACCCGACCCTCGTTTAGTTTGTTGTTTGTAGATTTTGGTGATCGGTTTAGGGCCGATTGTATATCTTCTCATAGGGTGGTTTGGTTTAGCTAAAATTTTTTCTAGGTCGTATAGATGTCCCCTCTTTGTAGGATTTAGCGATCTGTCCGTACAACCCTCGAAAGCATGATGGGTTTCTTCAATTTTAGTCTTAAGTGTGCTCGTTGTTAGTGTGTCGAGGTATCCCATTTTCAGGCTTCAAACTTGCGTCTGCCCCTTTGATGAGTCATTAACACTGTATCGAAATGACTGTTTATCAGGTTTTATTTAAATGTAATTTTCCTTTAAAAAAACTTCAAATACATTAAATACGTATTAAAATAGAAAGCCTTCCTATTTGGCTACAACAAAATAAAAGTACTTTTTTACTTTTTTATATACGAAGGATTTTACAAAAAAAAAAAAAAAAAATCCATCAGGCACTGCCTAGTGAGGACTATAACTATAGATTTTATTATAAGAGATTTTAAGACCGGTTTAGTATATAGATTTTGATTATGAATTTTAAAATTTAAGTTTTTTATGAGAAAAAAGTATTGTAACATAATCAAAACTATGTATTTAACTCATGAAAGCCCAAATATCAAACATACTATGGTCACTTATCCAACTTTGATCCCAATATTAATTTTTAAAAGTTTATGTACTCTATATTTGTTAAAAGAAACAATTTTGACCATGTCATTCATACATCTTTTATTTTCAAATAGAATGTAACACGAGTATAGAATTGATCGTTTTAAAAAGATAAATAATTAAAAATAAATCATTTTTCTTTTAAATTTTGTTTTTTCAATATGTTTTATTTTATTTTATGTCATTTGTGTTAACTTGGTCTCTAATTGTTCGATTGCACCCCTTTCAATTACACCAAAATCGTCCAAAACATCTCTTTCGTACAACTTTGTCTATGATACAAGCAGAAAGGCTGGTATCACACTAATTATATAGTTTCATAAATTCTCTTGAACTATTGATCTTATGTCAACTCATCCTTTTAAAATTTAAAAGTGGTCATTGCTCCCTCTCATAAATATATACAAAACTATCCATAAAACAAACAGAATAACTGTTTGTGACATATTCAAAGTGATTTGATAAAATTGTATCATAGAAAGATCTAGACAGAAGTGTTTTGAACGATTTTTTGTAATTGAGTGAGTGCAATAATCCCATGTAAAAAATTGAAGAGCAATAAAAAGTCTATACTCGTGAAGCACTTATGAGAACCTCAACAGGATAACGTGACATTTAATACTCATGATCAACTCCAAAACAAATATGTTTATAGGCAGTTCCTTCTCTCTCTCTCTCTCTCTCTCTCTCTCTCTCTCTCTCTATATATATATATATATATATCCAGGTAACGCATATCTGCAGAACTCCTTATTCCATTTCCATAATCATAAATCATAAATAACTAAATAAAAGGGATCAAAAAGGACTACCCCAAAAATACTGCATGTCTCTATATATCTTTAATTATGTAATAATAATGATCATATTATTATATATATACAGTATGATTTTCTTATACAACCTCAAGAAATTCCTTTATTAGATAATAAAACTGCAGCATAGTTTTTTCCCCTACTAAATATTACACATATCCAATGCAACTTAAGAGTGTCAATCATCGTTAGTAATTGATCCCTTTCAACTTCAAAAAAAAAAAAAAAAAAAAAAAAAAAAAAAAAAAAAAAACATCAACAATCAACCTTTAAAATCATGAGCTACTCTTAATTAGATCATTCGAATAAGCATACTCATGTATACATACGTTTACACACAGTCACACACACACACATATATATATATATATATATATGCAGTTATATATATATATATCATGTCAAGATGAAATCAGGCTATATATATATATTTGTGTGTGTGTGTGTATGAGCACACATACCTGAAAGTTACGGCTCATGGCCCGTACTATACCTAGCTTTGAGCTCTCTTAGCTAGGTTTCGACCACTGAATCGGAGAAACAATCTATATATGTTAAAGATAGACCAGATTTCAGATTTCTAGAGATATAGTGCACAAGTACTTTTTTCTCCTTCTTCTTCTTCTTCTTCTTCTTCTTCGTTTTTTTTTTTTTTTTTTTTTTTTTTTTTTTTTTTCCCCTTTTTTTTTGTTCTACTCCATCTTTCTTGACTGATATCTATGTACTTGAAGTTAGGCAAGCTACTAAATCAAGAAAGTGACTGCCATTTTCTTTTTCTTTTCTTTTCCTTTTTGTTTTTTTTTTTTCCTTCTTAGTTAATTAGTAGAATTGGTGGGGTCGTGGCACATACAAAGTGACGGTTATTGAAAATTTTAAACATGATATTCGAGTGGATAAGGATGAGGTTTTCACAACTTTAATTATAATCTTTCTCATCATTTGAAAAAGAATTGCCTATCATAATTGATCTTCAGTTTTCCTTTTGGAGTATTAATTTATCTTGTTTTATGTAATCGGTTCGAAAATTTGCTTACGGACCTAAGGCCTTTTTATTTTATATATTAATATATACATTATAAAAAGGAATCGTCTACATAAGCATGACCTTGAACAATATTGACATTATTGTTGTTATTATTATCGTTTTCTCTTTTTTTTTTTTCAGCTAATTTGTAGAGATATATATAATGTTGAATTCGTCCAAAAGCATAAAATATATTGGCCTGAATTTGCCTACTTCGGGTTTATGCAAGTTAATGCAGTGTTCCTATTCTAGAAAGATCATACAAATGCATTTGGACTTACAAAAAGGAGAAAACGAAAAGAAAAGTAAGATATCTTGAGTGTACATATGTGTGTGTATGTGTATACACACACCGTGATGAGATCATGGAAGGATTAAATTGGCCAGCATCGTGATCCATCTCAGACTAGTGCTAAGTGCCAACTCTACTATATATCATTTAGTTATAAAACAAAAAATAAAAAAAAATAAAAAAAAAACAAAAAAATAATAAAAACTTTACCATATCATTGTTATTGGACGTCGGTATTTCTACGTTGATTGGCGGTTTTTACAAATATTGTATGGATGTGAAAACCTCTTAAATGTTATAGTTTGTAGGAGATTTTTACAGAAAGGTTTGAAAAAATGAATTATCGGTAGGTTTTTATTTTTCAGTCGTCGAATATGTATTAAAAATTAGTTGTTCTGCATATTTATTTTCAACTTTGATGTGATTTTGATTAGATTTAACGTTAAAAAATGTATAGAATTCGTATAAATTCCTTATGTTAAATTTGACCTATGTTATATTTGGGGATAAATTTGACACTAAATATAGGATACGTAATATTTTAGCAATTGATTTATTGTCTTTTTAATTTAGTTATTATTGGTTTTTCTAAATTATTTAAAAATGAAAATTTACTTTTAATAACTTTTAAAAATCAATTATTATGACAGAATTAGATAAAGTATTTGAACTATCATTTTGTATAAGAGCACAAAATAAAATAACATATTCACATATGCTATTAGTAATTAAGAATGAAATATCGATATCTATAAAAATATCGATATTTCAGTTTTATGAAAATTTAGGACAAAATTTATGGATATTATGGAAGTTTATATTAAAAAATATTTCTAATCTTATGTTATAGTAGAATAAAACGTTGAAAAAGGTACATAAATAAACATGTTATACATTAAAAATAAAAACTTTGTAAATTCTTAATACCAGAATTAGATAAAGCATTTGAAATATCATTTCGTATAGGAGTATAAAATAAAATAACATATTCACATATGCTATTAGTAGTTGAGAATGAAATATCCATATTTGTGAAAATATCGATATTCCAATTTTATGAAAATTTAGGATAAAATTTATGGATATAATGGAAGTTTATATTAAAACATATTTATAATCTTATATTATAATAGAATAAAACGTTGAAAAAGGCACATAAATAAACATGTTATAACTTAAAAAAACTTTGTAAATTCTTAATACTAAAAAGCTCTATGAGATTCAAACACGGTTGAGATTCCATCTTGATCTAGATTCTAAATAATATTAGTGTCATAAAATGTTATTTCAATAATGTTGGATATATTTATGAACATGCCACCTATAAATTTGTTGATCTCTTCTCACTATATTTTCATGAATGAAAAATTGCAAATTCTCCCAAATTATTTACATGAGATGGTGATGGTATGTTCAGATGACAATGATAAAAAATTTTATATCTATCATAGTTTTTAAAAATCATATCGTATGAATAATAAACTTGAAAAGATAAATTCTCCTAATTATTTATGAAATTTGTGGTTTCTAAAAATTTTTAAAATTTTCCCGAACTTCCTCCCAAATTTCCCAAAATTTTACAAAAAATACACTATACACTAATTTCGTATTTTAAACTGATATTCACCGATTAATTGTTGACTGGACTCAGTGACGGAGTTATGATTTATTGGTAGAGGGTAAATTTTTTTTATCAAGATTATACTGACATGTATATATATGTAACAATTTGTTTATTAAATTAATTCATGGTCTAATAAAATGTAGATAACTATTAATTTAAGGGGAGGCCAAAGCTAATTTATATACATACCTATTATATTAAAATTAAAATTACTATATTAAAAAAGAGAAAAAAAAAGTTAGGCTCCCCTCCACCCCCTCTCTCCGTCATTGACCAGATTTAACCACTTTATTCAATTGTAGTGTTTAAAATACTGTCTAATCAATTATATCATGTCACACTATTTGAAAAAATTAAAATATTATCTAATTCAAGTTTTATTGCTGGCTCATTAAACGGTGTGATATGATATAGTTATCTTAACTACTATTTAGGACATTAAAAATTGAACATGTGATCTATTATTGAGCTATCTTCTACTTTCTACCGTCAGTAACTAGTCTCCTGCCAATATGCCACGTAGAAAAAACTTGCTTGTCACGTGTAAAATTCAAAATTTTCATATGGCTTAGCATAGTTTATTTCACAAATTTAAAATTTAAATTTATTACAATTAAAAATTTTCATAAAAAGTCACATTTAATTTTTTTTTATTATAATAAAAGGTTCTTATATAAAATCACATATTAATTCGAATTAAAAATTCATAAGAAAATAATTTTTAAAGGATAATTTGGTCAATATGTAAACAGTTCGCTCCGCTGCTCATGGTTCAAAACATCAACCGGGGGCAAAAAAACTGAGAGAGAAATGGCTTACGAGGACCGGCTCAAAGCCGCGGCGAAGATCATCCATGCCACCGACGAACGCGCCGGCGACGCGCCGGTAAAGCCGCATGAGCTTGGCGTGACGGCGACTCTGAAGCCTCACCAAGTAGAAGGCGTTTCATGGCTAGTACGGCGGTATATTCTCGGCGTCAACGTCGTTCTCGGTGAGTATTGGAATTCAATAATTTCATCAAACTTTTCCTTCTGTTTGTATGTCGGTTTTGGTTGAGAAATTCCGATACGAATTTTCAGTAAGGATTGTTGCATTTGATTTGATGTTTGAGAGAAAAAGAAATTTTGTGAGTTATTTGAATTGATCTTCCATTGGAATGTTCATTTGCAGGAGACGAGGTACGAATACATTTTGCTCTCACTCTCTGGAACATTATTTTTGCGGTGACTTTGATTATTTTATAGTCCAATTTCAATTGATTTAGTGAAGCTTCGTTATATTTGGGAAAGATAACATAATTACGTTTGTTAATAATTCTTGATTTTAGGGTTGGTAACTTACCCGATTATCTGCTTGTAATGTCTTCAAGAATCTCTAACTCTTAACATTTGTGTGACTTTCACTTCAAACAGTAAATTTCATCTCCAACTTATTACACCATTTCTAATACTAAAAAAATATTCCATGTATATTTCTTTTTAAGAATTAAAAAAAGAAAAAAAGGAAAGAAATAAAAAAAAATTTGAAGTAAAATTTGGTGTGGAATGAACAGTAGAAATGCAAATATGCGTTTCCACCGTTCACCCCACCAAATTCACGGCAAAAATTGCTTCCAAATTTGCTGCTTGGTTGGAGCTCTTCCGCAACACCAAGCCCCTTTTTCACACCAATTTAGCGTGCTTTGGAGAAGCCCTTACTAGTGAATGTTCTCTTTTTTCCTAGCACGTGAATGTAGGTATGTTGCCGAACTACATTAAATCGTTTTGTTCTTCTCTTCTTCCTTTTATTTTTTTTATTTAATTATTGTTAGCTTAATCATGTGGCTTCTCATTGAGCATTATTAAATATATTTTCAGCATGATTCGGCTTTTGCCAGACTACTCTCCTAGGTTCAATTTGGGAAATTCTCCGACTTTTTGGAAGAAGCTTAATTTTTAGAGCTTGTTTAGTAGGAGGGAAAAGTGGAGGCGAGGCGAGGGGCAAGGGGACTAGTGGAACTTTGCATACGCAATCTCATATGCATAATTTGAGGTTTTGATAATAATAGTCTTAGAACTTTGCTTGCTTGCAAACTTTTACAATCAATCAATCCTAGGATAGTAACTTGGAGTGTAAAGTAAATGAAATAAAACTTCATTGAATTAATGTCAATGAATGCATAAATATATTTGCTCTAGGGCACTATTCCTAATAGATAAGAGAAGGTAAAAAGAGAGACGAAGAGTTTAAGAAAATATATAGTTGCATTATACTGTTAGTTCATAATATTTTAAGAAAATATATAGTTACATTATACGTTTACTTCAAAATTTTGGTTTAACTCATACCTCCAAAAAATATTTTTGGCTTCGGCACTTGAAGCACTTGACGCTCCAGGTCATTTTTTACATCATTGGAAAATGGATTGGGAACATTTGACTGGGATTTCAAATCTTTCAAATAACCCTAATTTTAGTCTCTTCAAATATAGAGGGTTTAGAGAAGGGAATCCATATCAAACACGGTGAGAGATACGTCATAGCCTAAAGGCATAACAGAGAGAGGTGAAATTTTACCAGGCATTATTGGCTTTATGTTGTTGTCTCGATTTTGAGTTCTAAAACATCTTGGTCCAAACGTTTGATATTTTTTTTCTTTGATTAATTAAAATTTTTGGCTACTAATATCCAAGCCGTCATTAATATGCATAATCTTTAGTTGGTGAAAGCTTCACCTCCATATCTTCACCAAGGGGAATGGATAGTTTGTCATTTCCCTTTATCTTTGCGTAATAAGTCAACTATTTCAGTGATTTGAGCTGAAATGGCAAAGCTTCATAGTAGCAACATAAATGCCTGTTTTCAGCATGCTGCTCTGTTCCTTCTCAGATGGGGCTAGGAAAGACACTTCAAGCCATCTCATTAATGAGCTATTTGAAAATTCAAAAGTTGTCACCTGGGCCATTTTGTGAGTTAGTGATGTCTCTTGCTAAAAACTCTTTGGAGCTTTTGCTGTGGATCGCTATGAATTTAAGAGTTTTTCTTCTTTTCCTTATTTGTTATTCAAATATCTGCAGTGATACTATGTCCTCTAAGCGTAACCGATGGTTGGGTATCAGAGATGGACAGATTTGCTCCAAAACTAAGAGTTCTACGTTATGTTGGTGACAAGGAACACCGTCGCAGTTTACGTAGAACAGTATATGAGCAAGTAAAAGAACAGTCCTCACAAAATGATGTGAGTTTTAATTTGGTGCATTGTATGATTTTCAATTAATCTATTTGTCCATCGATTATTTGTTCTAATTGGATCTGTTGACAGGTTTTGTTGTTACCTTTTGACGTGCTGTTGACAACATATGACATAGCACTGATGGACCAGGATTTCCTTTCTCAAATACCATGGCACTATGCAGTAATTGATGAAGCTCAAAGGCTTAAAAACCCTTCTAGTGTATGTTTAATTTTTTTGTAGCGCTCTTTCGCACACTGAGGAACTGCTGTATGTAATGGGACTTGCCTTGTTACTGTAATTACTGGACTTATGAGGCTTGTGATAGGGTGAATTTCAGTTTCTTGTGCAATAAATAGTGAATACCTGACTGTTAGATTTTAAAACGACTACAAATTACTGTTCCATTTCCTGTTTTGCATGTAACAATTCTTTATGAAAGATCTAAAGAAGAGGAAATGACATTAATGTGGAGATTTTCTTCCTGATATTGTTCTTAAATTATGCTTTACATTGCACCACATATGTATATATGAACTTTGTAAGGTTTTCGTTGTAGTCATCTTTGCATGCTTCAATCCTGGCAGGTTCTGTATAATGCCCTAAAAGAGCGCTTTCTCATACCAAGACGGCTACTGATGACTGGCACACCAATTCAAAACAATCTCACTGAACTTTGGGCTTTGCTGCATTTTTGTATGCCTTCAGTCTTTGGGGGACTGGACCAGTTCCTTTCTGCATTCAAGGAAGCTGGAGATCCTTCTTCAGGTTAATGATTTAAATTCCAAAAAGGATGTCTTGGTCATTTCTTTTCAATATGACGCTGGCGGCTTTAGCTCTGGTTTTTAAAGAACCTGATTATAGCCTTCTATTTATTTCCTTTACATTTTCTCCCAACTTAGGCTTTGGTGATTGCTTAAAGTAGTGAGAGAGTTTTTACCACTGGACCAGTATTTTTGTAAACGTAACGCTTATTATTGTTCTGGAATAGGCCATGATCCGTCTAAAGTAAAAGAGCAGTTTAAAACTTTAAAAGGTGTAGTGGGAGCCTTTATGCTTCGACGTACAAAATCTAGACTTATTCAGCATGGGAATTTAATCCTTCCACCACTTACTGAGATAACAATGTATGTTTCTACCTTTTGAACTAAAGGCACTCAACTTCCTAATCCCGTTCTTACTGTACAATGCTAAGATATTTGCCATGATAGGATGGTGCCACTAGTCAGTCTACAAAAGAAGGTTTACATGTCAATATTGAGGAAGGAGCTACCTAAACTACTTGCATTCTCTTCTGCAGCCTCAAATCATCAATCATTACAGAATATTGTATGTTACTTTCTCCAATTTCACTCCTATGGCTTGTTTCTTGTATTACCTCTATACATCGCCGTGAACATCTTTTTCATCTTTCCCTGTATTTTCTGTTGTTTTATAATTTATTTATTCCTTACCTAGTGGACTAGAAATTAATTCTGCAAAAGTATTTTGTTCCACAACAAATATATGTTCCTTCTTTAAAAGTATTCTTTCATTTTCCTGGCAATTAGTGGAAATTTTGGTTGTTACAGACTACAACTTTAATCTTGTAATTCTTCTGTCCTTGCACAAATGTTTAAATTATAATTCACCACTACAACTGTGATTCACATTCCCATTCTCCATCATTGATTTATGAATGCTTGCACATCTCTAGCTCACTGATTAATCTGTTACTTGTGTTATAGGTAATACAATTACGAAAAGCATGTAGCCACCCTTACCTTTTCCCTGGCATTGAGCCTGAACCGTATGAAGAAGGTGAACACTTGGTTCAGGTAGTTCCAGTTTCTTAGATTCATTTGGTAAAGGAAGGACTTTGAAATGTGTGCAAGTATGTGCTATAAATATCTAGTAGCTACTGAGTGATCGAAATTAAACAAGAGGAAGAGAAAGACTTGATTGCTTACGTTTCTCAAAGCGGCAAACTCATGTTGTATCTGATTTATGGTAAATTAATTTTTTTTTTACTCTCATGGAGCTTCCGGTCGGTTGATATCTCTGTTTGTCTGTGAATTTCTAACAGGCCAGTGGTAAACTTATTATTTTGGACCAACTACTTCAAAAGCTACATGATTCTGGGCACCGCGTCCTTCTCTTCGCTCAGATGACCCATACTCTTGACATCCTACAGGTTCACTCTTTCTTCTCTTTTGTTTCAATAGCAAAAGAAATTACTTTTCCTTTGAGATAGTGATGCTAGTCTGCTTCTTCTAAATTGAAAAAAGATAACCTTTATCTCCAACATAGGATTTTTTGGAGTTGCGAAGATATTCCTATGAGCGTCTTGATGGATCAATTCGAGCTGAGGAGCGTTTTGCTTCTATAAGAAGCTTCAGTAGACAATCAGACGAAAGAAGTTCGAATTCTCAACCTGATGGAAATGGCGCTTTTGTGTTTATGATTTCTACTAGGGCTGGGGGAGTTGGTCTGAACCTTGTAGCTGCTGATACTGTTAAGTTTTAAGTTCGTTACAATTTTGTTAGAACTATGAATTTTCCCAATCACAACTAATGAAGATGAACCTGGATGTGGTATTATTTATGGAATGCTTAATTGAGACCCTCACTTGCTCCTACTTCACCTAATACATTGGAGGTTTATAGTGTATAATTGCAAAGGATTCTCTTTAAAATAATTCTATCCTGAACGTCTATCATGTATAAAGCAAATAGTAATTGCGTGCTCTTCTTACATTAATTGCTTTCTAATCCAGGTTATATTCTACGAGCAAGATTGGAATCCCCAGGTTGACAAGCAAGCTTTGCAGAGAGCACACCGGATAGGCCAAATGAAACCGGTGTTGTCTATAAACCTCGTTACTGAACGTACTGTCGAAGAGGTGAGATCTTAGACGTGAGTCATTATCATCAATGGCGATATATACAATATTCTGTTTCAAAAGAGTTAATGTAGGTCATTATGCGGAGAGCAAAGAGGAAATTGCAGCTCAGTTACAATGTTGTCGGGAATGATGTGGAAGACCAAGAAATTAGAGAATCTGCTGGAGTTGAAGCTAGAGATTTGCGATCTGTCATATTTGGATTACGTATGTTTGATCCTACTGAGATCGATGATGAAAACTTTGGTGAAGTAAAGATTTCGGAGTTGAATGCAATGGCTGAGAAGGTAACTGCAATGCGTTGTGAAGAAGTAGCAGCCAGAGATGATAGGAAATTTGAGGTTAACCCAACAGATAGTTTAAATGGATGTATTCGTGCTCGAGGAGATTCTGCTTCTTTTGATTTTGATTCTAGTTCTGATGTGGCGTCATATCTCTCGTGGGTAAAAAAATTTAAGGAGGAATCACAAAAAAGTGACGAGCAAATTATGGATTTCAGAAGAAGAGAATTAGATGAGGATAAGCATGCTAAGCTTGAGGCTGCAAAAAAGAAGGCCGAGGATAAGAAATTGTTAAAGTGGGGAGCCCTTGCGTATCATTCGTTGTCTGTCAGGGACCCTGTCACCCCTTTGGACAGTGATATGATGTCAGAATCGGGAGCTGTCCAGTTTGTTTATGGAGATTGCACCAAACCTTCGGATGTTTGTCCATCTGAGCCCACCATTATTTTCAGGTTAGTTTGGCTCTCTGGAAAATGCCTCCTCAGAAGTGTTTCTTTTTCAATTGGAAAAAAAAAAAAGAAGCTCTGGAACAATAGCATACGAACAGTAGTTTATTTTATGTCCAAAGGCCAATTGACCTGCACGATTTGTCTCCCTTTTTTTATTTCCTGCTAAAGTGTGTATCCTCTTTGTTATTCCAATATCAATATGCCAAATAGTTTTTAGTGGACGTTTGGTTCACGAATTCATAACCATTCTCGGTTTACGTGTGTTTTTGTGAGAGAAAACACTGTAGCGAGCCACGAACCATGATTCGAACCATGACACGAATCCTCATACCTAACACAGGATTAGTTGCCCTGATTTCATTTATTTGTGACCTGCTTTATGTTTGCAATTAATTCACCTCCATAGAGGTGGTTTGTTTTCACTTAAGACTAGAAGTATATGTTGATCTCATAGCTGTGTTGACGATTCTGGAAACTGGGGACGCGGAGGCATGTTTGACGCACTGGCCAAACTGTCTGCAAGCATACCAGGTGCATATAACCGGGCTTCTGAATTTAAAGACCTACAGCTTGGTGATCTTCACCTCATAAGAGTGAATGGTAAATTCTTATTCTTTCCATGTTAAAATAATGTCAATAGTTTGAACTGTTTCGTAATTGAATACTTGCTAGTTAATGACCCCCAATCAGTGGTGTACTCAACAGTAAATCAACATTACACAGTAGTATTCTCAAGTCTGTTTATCATTGCTAATTGCTGAGAGATATAACGGGAAAGTAATCTGAAACAAGTAGATATTTTAGGGCAACACGTAAGTTTTGCATTTCAGCTATGCTTGTTGTAAGTTGTAATCATTGCTTTAAGGACTCGTTTATCAAATTGTAACGGAACGTTTGAAAGGGAAAAGTTTCAAAAAGGAAGAAATGAAATTAAAAAATTGGAAAAAATCAGAAATACCACTCAAGGTGATAAAAAAAAATTATTTATGCCACTACACTAAAAAATAAACAATTGTCATTCAATTAATAAAGAGAAAACAAAAGGCCATGATGGCACCCAGTTATTTAGAATGCCGTATATGATAGGCATGTACAAAACCATGGCAAATTATGTACTTTTCTCTTGTAAAAACAAAGGAGGGATCATCAAAAAGGAATGAATGAAATAGAAAGGGGAACATTTAATTTCTTTTTTTTTTTATAGTATTTATTAACTTTAGGAATAGGAGTTTTAGTAGCTTAAGTACTGAAATGCCCTTGTGCATATAATTGTTGGCTGAAATTTACAAACGCTAGAAAAATAATTTTGTAAGTTATTCCACTTAAAAAAAAAAATCAAAACAAAACAAAACAAAACCAAGGAGTGAGTCGGGAAACACATGAATAGACGGCAAACATTCTTCTCGTTCTTTTCTCCACGTGAACGTACCCCAAAAGTTCCCATTTGCATTTGTGTTCCACATATGCAGAGAATTCCAGTGAACAGAGCACGGATAGTGATACTCCTCAATGGGTGGCTGTGGCCGTCTTGCAGTCTTATAGTTCTCGGCGCAAAATCCCCCGCAGTAACATTTCTATCCGAGACTTGGAATCTTGCATAGCAAAGGCATCGTACGCAGCGGCTCAAAACGCTGGTAAGGAGTTTCTTCACTACTAAATCATATCAAAACTAAATTTTGCAACAATTTTTTAATGCTTTCCATTGTCAAATTTTGAATAATACTTGTGTTTTGTTCTCTAAAAAGCTTCCATCCACATGCCACGAATTGGTTATCAAGCTGGATCAGATCGTTCGGAGTGGTACACCATTGAGCGTCTTCTTCGGAAATATGCTTCCATTTATGGCATAAAGATTTTTGTGTATGTCCTTTCCTTCATTTGTGTCTGTGGTACTTATGTGGTGAAAAAAATTAGAAAATATTTCTTTTAACTTTTGTGTGCAGGTACTATTACCGAAGGCCATCGTCTTGAGACGTTCAATTCAACGTTTCTCACAGGTTGCAACGGGCATCTTCCTTAAGTATAATAAAGTTTATGCAGTGTGAAAGCCATGTGAAAAACGGCTAGGACAATCAGCTTATGGTTTGTAAAATACCAACCAATTTCTTTTTAGCACATATGGAAGAGTGGGTGCAATGCAATTGTTTCTTCTTCTTCTTCTTCTTCTTTTTTGTTTTTGTTTTTGAACTCTTCTTTTTCAACCACTTTTGTATAATATAAACTTCATTTATTCCACCCTTTTTTCTCAATTCTTTCATAATTCCCTAAAAGTTTCAAATTAATAAGAATTTGTACAACAACATACTTATATCTCTAATTAATAGAAATTATGTGTGCTTTTTTTTTTCTTGAATTGAGAATTTGATATTCTATTCTTGAAGTTGCATGCCGTAGTTATAATTCTATTCTTGAAGATGTAATTGCCGTAGCTGTTTAAGTTCGGGACAGTTTGGTATTCTTGTGGCATTTAAACTAATTGATGTAAGCTGTGTTGGGTGAAAATCAGTTGTAATAAAAAGCAGTTCAGTGTTTAGTACTCTATTTTAGGCTTAGTTTGGTATTGATTTTGAACCAGTCAAAAGCACTTTTTTAATAAGTTTTGGGTTTATTTGTGTTTGGTAAAAAGAGTAAAAAGTGCTTGTGAAAGAATTTTTGAATTATGGGATGCCAAAATCAGAAGCAGCCTTTATGCTGCTTCTGATTCTAGATTGTGCGGCAATCTAATTTGCCTTTTAATGAAATTTTTGTTATGACCATATTACCCTTGCTGAATTAGAAAAATCCCAAACTAAATTTTTCCAGATCTCTCGAAGAGTCTTTCTTCTTTCTCGAGTTCTCAGGCGTGCTCTCTCTCTCCCTCCATTTCTCCTATCTCTCTCTCTGTTGTCTCGGTCTCCTCTGTGCTCCTCAGGGTTTTAGGAGGCCCATGCGATTGAAGTTTTGGCAGAATCTCTCTCTCATTTCTCTGTCAAACAGGTCCGTGGTGGTTAGGGTTTTATGATCTCGTCGTGCGATTGTGGGATTGCTAGTTGGAGCTCTTCAAATCAAGACTATTGCCTTTGTAAGTACTCAATTGATCTTCGTTTGTCTCGATTGGTTATGTTTTCACAGAAATTTTTTGCTCTGGATTCGTTTCTCTCCATTTCGAAAGAGTTTTCCTGTGAAGTTTATTTGGTGTTTGCTTCGATTCTGGCTTAGTTTGGTAGTCTGTAAGTGCTTGTGGGCTATGTTTTTTCATGTTTAATCTGGGTGTTTTTGAGAAATGGTTTTCGTGAGAGATGGAAGGGAAGCCATGGAAAACAAGTACTAGAGGGGAAAAACAGACTTTTTTTTTTTGCTATACATGGAAAAACAGATGCCTGGTATTTATATGATTAGGAATTGTAAATTCATTGGGTAATGCATAAATTTTGCATGAATATTGCATTTGCATCCATGCTCTCATTTCTTCGGAATTCCTTTTTGCAGTTAGTAGAAAACTATCCATTTAGAGAGCGATTCCTTTTTGCTGGTAGAATGCTAAGGTAGTTAGGTATGTTTGATTAAATTTTCATGAACTAAGACCATTGCAGCTCATTTTTATTAATCTACTAGATGTTTCTAAAATTTGGAAATGAACAGTTAATGGAGGTTTTGTATGGTGATTGCCTTTTGAAATGATTGAGAGTAGTCGGAAGAACGCTTGTGTTGGGGATGGTGGGGGGCAAAAAAGATGTGCTTTATTTTTATTTTTTTCCCTTGGATTCTAGGCCTCTAGTTTGAAATCGATGGAAATTTACTCATGTGGATGTTAGCCATTTTTGAATATATGGACGACATGTATACTTACTAGCTATCTCACACTTATGTGCATATATATATTATTTTATTTTTAGATATATACGTGATATGTGATAGATAACAAAATATCCCATGTACACCCTCCTTTTGTAAGCTTATAAGTCAATCTTAAAATATAAGAAAAGGCTAATTCTTATCCAAGGCAATCTATTACTTGCTTATATTTACCATGGCCCAGTAGTATTTGGCTGCCTCCTCCAAATGAGAAAGATAAAGATTATAACATCTGCCAGACTTTTAGTTAGCATTTCCCAAATGGAGGGTGCTATACCACAAGGTAAAACAATATGGGACTCTGAGACTGGAGATCGTTTTTGTGATTTGTGCATCAAAGAGGCGGAAGATGGACACCGTCTCTCAAATGGATTTTCTAATCTTAAGTGCATTCAACGAGTTTAAAGTTAGATGTTCTTCATGTCATTAGATGTTAATCGTGTCATTCTCTTACACAAACTGATTTGTTTATGTGCATGTAACTGAAGGCCTATGTCAAACAAGAATAAGGAAATCTTTTACACCTTGTGGATCCTTAAATGATAAAAAAAAAGATAACAAAAAATTTCATTTTTTTTTTCTATTAACTACTCCAAAAAGGAGGCTTTAATAATGCTTAACCTGGCGCTCTTGTGTACTAACCAGTCTCCCAGTCTTAGAACAACCATGTCCGCCGTAGTCAGTATGCTCGAAGGCAAAATCCCGATCCAAGCACCAGTGGTCGATTGCAGTGAGGATGACCAGAATGCAACGTTCAAGGCTTTTGAGATGTTGGCACTGGACAGCCAAACTGATTTCTCTTTGTACTCCAACACAAGTCAACAATTAGGCAGTTCTACAGGTGGGCCGTGGGTGGATTCCTTTGTTTCTCTCCAAAGTAAGGATGACCATATGGACACCTCCTCATCAAGAAAGCTTCTTTAGAATCTTTGGTGATTTGAATTTAGAGGGAAAATACTCGGAAAATGAAAGTTCTAATCGGTTTTGTCTACAATATTCCTCAGTAAAGTTGTTCTATATTATTGTGACAACGGTTTATCGTATTTCAATAAACTTGAGAGAAAATTTACTCTGTTGCTCGCCTGTTTTTTTACTCTATTTTTGTGAAAACAAACTTGAGAGAATTTCTCTTCTGCACTGCTCATCTCTTCGAAGTTTTATTAAACAAATTTTTGGTGTTTGGAAGAAAAAATGGAAAATGTTAGGAGACATACTTAATTATTCATTTACGAAGCAAGTCAAGTTTTACTATTACTAGAAATGGATGAAGTACGAGATCAAATTAATGAACACGACTTAATTCTTTTCATGCCTTTATCAGTTTTTGAACATAAAATGTACATTTTTGTTCAACAAATTGATTAGTCATTAATGTTCTTTTTAGTTGTAATTATATTGTGAATAAAGAAATGAAAAAAAAGAAAATTAATTATCATAAATTTATTGTTAAAAAATTCAAAATCATAACATTATGTGTTTTTAAAGTTAAACAAGTATTTTTAAATACAAAAAATAATTATATATATTTAAGTTTCATATTATGTCTATTTTGGTCATTTTACACACCCACAGTAATTCCACCTCAAAATTTATCAAACGTTATTATATTGATTTTAGAACCAGCACAGCTACTATAATTACAGTTTACCAAACACTCAGCTGCTTCTTGGAACAGTTGCTTCTTCCTTCAGCATAGCTAAAAGCACTTTTTTAAAAATCCACAGCACTACCAAACTAAGCCTTAAAAGTGTTGCTGTCTTTAAAAATGTGTTTAAATGATTGATAAATGATAAATCTGAAGACATTAAATGAGGTAGGGAGACAAATTGTGTTATATTTATATCATAAAAAAAATTATATAATGATTTTTTTTGTTTCTAAATTTTGCTATATAATTGCACCAAAACGTTCTAAATTTTCATGGGCAATGATATTTTAAAGATTTCGTGTGATTGTTCTTAACATCCAATCCAATATTTTTGCAATTGAACATAAATTGTGGCAAAATGTTGCAAAGCCTTTTTCTCTAAACATATGGATGAGTTTTTAAATAGTTAGAGTTCCATTAGTAATCACCTCTAAATATAAAAATTTTTATGATGTAGCGTGATAAAAATATAATTTTATTAATTGTGATTAATTTTTATTAACTATTTAATTTATTACAACTGTCGGATTAATATCTTGTGACTAAATAATATTACTCATTAGAGTAACCATTAGAACATATAGATACATCTGTGTGTGGGGGGTTTTAATGGTTACTCTAATATTTAACTATAAGATATGAATTTGACGGTTGTAATAAATTGAATATTTGATTGAAAAAAAATTAATCACAGCTAATGATAATAAATTCTTATCATGTTACGTCATCAAATTTCTACATTTGATAGATATCACCATAAAAACGTAAGCGTTAAAAACTCGTATATATATATATATATATTTAGTTATTGTTTACAATGATAATAAATTCTTATCGTTATCAAATTTCTACATTTGATAGATACCACCATAAAAACGTAAGCGTTAAAAACTCGTGTATATATATATATATATATATTTAGTTATTGTTTACAATGCTGTAGTAATTGTTACATAGAAGAATACGTTGATAAGATAAAAGAAAAAAGAGTTTCTGCAGAAAAAAATAAGTGGGCCAAATTTAGTATTATAATTTTATTATTATGAGATTTTGAGAACTTAGGCTTTTATTGATCGGCTTTAGCGCATATATTTTCGTAATTGGAAATCCAAAAGCTGGTATGACCAGTTTAAAGGCTTAGTTTGATATTACTTTTTTATCCTAAAATCAGCTTCTGTTTGTAGCAGAAGTTGATTTTAGTGTTTGGTAAATCTCTTTAAAAGTGTATTTTTAAGAATCTTTCAAGAATTTACAGCCAAAATCAGAAGCAGCCTAAAGACAACTTTAGCTTTTAAATTGTGCGGGAATCAACATAGTACAATTAATGAAACTTTCACAATACCCATAATACCCCTAATAAAATTTAAAATTGACAATCTTCCGAATCTAAAATTCAGACTCGTAATATAATATAATATAATAGTAATATTATAACAAATAATATCATAATTATATTAAAAACTATAATATTATTATTTTATTATATAATATGATATTATAATAATATTATAATTATTTTAATAATATGATATTATAATTATAATATGATATTATAATTATTATTTTATAATATATTATATATTATATTGTATTGATTAATAATAATTTAATAATTAATATAATTAAATATTAATACAATTTTATAATTCTATTATTATTATATATTATAGTGTATTACACACGGTTATATAATATATTAATTATAATATATTTATTTAATATAATATAATAATGATTATATAATATATTATATTATATTATAATATAATATATTATA